GAAATATGTTTAGGGGGATCAGAAGATATAATAGAATGAATTTCTTTGTAGTAAGATAAATTTTGCAAACTGAAAAATAAAAATAAGGCTTATAGAGATATTTTCTCAAATATATACTTTCCTTTTGAACCCTAAAAAACATTATGGAAAAAAAAGCTACATGTTCTGAAAGAAAAGCTGGAAAATAAACCTGTGGGCTAAAATAGGAACAATCCACGGGATCCATAAGGAATGGATGTAGTTTATCTAATTGAAAACATCCATCATGGATTGCTTAAAAGGGAGGAATCGTATTAATGGTCATGGGGACTCGAATACGAAATACTTTCATGTCATTGCCAACTTTCAATGAAGATCAAATGTACCTAGCTAAAAGTCTCGAGCGTCCCATACCAAGACAATGAGACAATGGAAGTCATCATAATTAGCCACTTTCAGACAGCATTTCAAAAGGAAGTTCGGCCCAACACAGATACTTCTTCTATCCTCTTCTTGAAACTATCTAGCTGAAGTGCCTAGCTGCAAAGGTTGTTCCAAATTCAAGAAATTAGAGAGGGTACAATCTCGCTAGGCAAAAACGAAGGCCCCTGGACCTAATGGTTTCCTATCACTTTCTTTCAACACATCCGAGGGATGAGCATTTTCTTTGGTTCCAGAAATTCTAAGGGTAAGGTGAACATAGCCATGAATGCCACCTTTATACACTCGTTCTAAAAAAGGATACGACCAAGTCCCTACCCTGTCTCGTGAGTCTTAGCCTATACAAAATGCTGACCAAAGTTCTCTAGCATCATGGCCAAGGGCTGTGCTCCACGAGGTGGTAGTCCTCCAATAGTCTTCCTTTGTCACATATTGTCAGATATTAGATACAATATTGGCGGCTCATTAATTTGTGGGCTCTAGGCACAAGGACAATAGACCAAAGAATAATCCATAAGCTACATTAGGATAAAGCCAATAATAAAATTAATTGGAACATCTGTCGAAAATTATGAAGCTAATGGATTTGAGAGTCAAATGGCAAACCTGGATCGAAATGTGTATGAAATCCACTCATTTTTGTGTTCTTATTAATAATAGTGCTCGTCTTTCGAGCCTCAAGAGGTATAAGACAGGGGACCCCTTATCCCCCTTTGTATTCACTGAAGTAGCTGAATCCTTTGATAATATACTAATGGCCAGAAACAATAAAGGTATGATGCCAGGATTCCACTAAACACCAAGAGGCTTAGTAGTGTTACATCCGCAATATGCAGATGACACTTTAATATTTTGCAACACTGTGGAATGTCCTCTAATGCTTTGAGGTAGTGATGCCTGAAAAATGCGTCATTGAAAGCATATGATAAGTTGAAGAGCCTAAAACACTGACCCATCGGGATCAATTTTCCCTAGATTCCTCCATACGGTGGGAAAATGGTTTATATATAATTAGGATTCAATAAGGAGTTCCAGGGATTTTCTATCCCTATTACCATTTACATCAAACTGATATGCAGGTTCGAATACCTTGGATTCAGGTCTTCAAGTACATACAAATTTAAGAAAAGAAATATATGGGGAATAAATGCTCACAACCGAGGCTATCTTGATTACCCCTTGTTGGCAAATCAGGATAACTCAAATCCCTACTTGATGTGGTGAGAACCCCACAACATTGAATCCAATACCCAAATAAAATACCTAAGAACAACAATGTGTGTGTGCAATATATTTAGAAAAAATAAAGAAACAAGAAAGACAAGTAAAATGCGAAATCACCAAACTTCAACACAAATAAGAGTGAAAGAAAACATAATTACGTGGTTCACCCAAAATGGGCTACGTCTACAATCAAGAGGGCAAAGATGCATTCACTATCCAATGAAGAAATTTACAAGTTTGGGGTTTTATAGAGATTACCTCATACAATAGCAATGAAAGTTCAAATAGATATTTTTTACCATAATACCACCATCAATCGAATCCCCACTTAGTCACCGTTGACCAAGACTGTCACCACAAAGAATCGTGATCAAATCCTGCCCAATACAAGGGCCACAATGGTGCTAGGGTTTGTACAAGAAACCCCTAATCTCTACCTCCCAAAACTTCTCTACACTTTTTTTTGTTCTTTTCTTTATGTTTTCTTTCTCCAAAAATGCTTTTTATGGGCCTCCATAAAAGGCCCATTTTCTATGACAAAAATACCTTTTAACAAAAGAGAAAATATTAAATGAGGGTGATTTGCATCACCGTCCCAACAAATTTACACCTTGATGCAAAGTCACACCTTTGCTTCTAAACATATTTGGTTATTCCCTTTTTGAAAAACCTAAGGAACTTAGCCAATTTCACAAGCTCTAGCCCAATAATCTCCATGTGTATGCTTTGCTCATCTTCCTTCATGCTTATGCTTCTCAAGCAAACTCCACCTTCTTCAACACTCTCATTCTTGAGTTCTTGAGGCCATCTTGCCTTCACACATGCTCTACTGAAAAATTTTCTGCACACTTACAACTGGTGCTTGATCTCATATCATCGAGATCCCTTACATAAGTCTCCCGCGAAGCCTTATTTATATTTATAACCTTGGCAATGCTTGCCCATACTTCTCAAACTTTGAAGTACCCATTTCACTCCATTCCATAATTTTTTTCTTAGGCTAAACACAAGCCAATCAAGAAAACTACAAACAAGTGAAATAACAAATCTTATACAAATCATGGCAATAATCAAGGTCAACATGCAACACTCTAATTACATCGGCCCTTCTTTCACCAAATTTAAACATTGGCCCAAAGAAAATCCATGTGGTGTTTCTGGCTTCACATCCCCTTGTGAAGTCCTAAATCTTCAATTTTTCCATCTTGCCAAATATCTTCATCAAGACCTTGCTTTATGCCATCGAGATCTTCTATTGCCAAACCATGTACCTCCTTTTGAGTTTCTTATTTCTTTACAACCAAATTTACCTTTTCACTTACAATTGTGCTCCCTAATAATTTATAGGGTAAAGAAAAATATCAACACCAAAAGGCATATATGACTTTTTCTTATTTGAAAATTTTAAATAATGGCTAAGCATGATTATGACCTCCTTGTACTAAAAATAAATGGTTGCATACTAGACAAACCCTCTTCTTATTTTAAAATTTTAAGATACTCTTCTGTCCCCCCAATATCAATCTCATAGAAGAATGATTTAGAGCTCAAAAAATGCTGCAAATCAAATCCCCTTCATGGCAAACTCTGAACCATCCATCTACGGAACTATTAGGTATGCTCCCCTCCCCATAAAACTCTAAGCCATCCATCTATGGATCTATTAGATATGCTCCCCTCCATGGCAAGCTCTGAACTGTCCATCTATAGAACTATTAGGAATGCTCCCCTCCATGGCAAACTCTGAACCGTTCATCTATGGGACTATCAGGTACCCGGTTTTGAGAGCTTTAAAGAATAGTAAGTTTTTGGGTGTTGAACCATTCACTTTAATGGCTGGCTGGTTCTAAATTTTTTTTTTCCTAAATTCTTTTCCATATATTTTGGCTTGCAGGTGCAACATCGAACTCAAAAGGAAAATATTTAATGGAACAATTGCACAATTGGTAGACAAAACACTATGGGATTTAATTCACCCCAGAACCATGGGGACCACCTTTTTACATCTCTAAAAATCACTTTGAAAGAGAAAAAACATCGACTTGGAAGATCAGAAGATATTCCATACCCCTAGCCAGTTCAGGCTCGAACATTAGACCATTCATTTGAATAAAAACATGATTTAGGAATTTTGCAACTCAAAGATTGTTTTTTTTTTTTTTTTTTTTTGTTGGTAAACACAAGAATGGCACAATCACTCCATCCATTAGGTCCAAGTTTCGAGATTTTTTTCTTTGTTTGGACTTCGGGTCTAGTTTGGTCAATAGCATACCTCCAGCCACTCAATCATACATCCTACAATCAGAAACTAGTTGTGACTTCCTTATACTAAAGATAAATGGACTCATTGTATATTTTTCTTTCCTTTATGTATGACCTTACCCAACCAACAAACCGAGGGCACAAAAGCATCAAGAGAGGGATTGGACACAGATGGGAATTCTTAGGGCAAGCCCGGACTCAAGAGCACAGCTAAGCTCACAGCCAGCAGTGAAGGATCAATGCGGCGGCTAGGCCAAGACAAGGATCGAGGAAACCTTAGATGCAAGTATGGATGAACATAATAAATACAACAAAACAAACACAAACCGACGGAACTACTTACAAAACTGCGATTGATTAGGCAGAACTGCTGAAGCTAGTTGGGTAAGGTGGTCGGGTTGTTCACATAGGCATGGTAGTCCTCAACTGCTTCAAACTTGTCAGGCTGCCGTCAAAGTTTGTGATAGTTGTTTGGTAGGCAATACTGCATGCCCCCATTATTTCCTCAAAACCTGAACCTAACCCTAAATCTTCCCCTACATGGAACATGAGACTCGAAAGAATTAAGCCGAAGCTCCTCAAAAATAGCCTTCTCCATGAAGATCTCCCATACGCTCCACCCAAATTTCTTCAAAACCATCACTTTCCCTCTGCAAACCATCCCGATCCAATTTTGCCTGCCCCTTTAACTCTTGCCAGAAGCTTCTCAAAAGAAATTGATGAGAAGCAACTCGTCAGCGATAAAATTTGAACCAGTAGATTCCTTACTCAAATTCAACCCCACTCTATTTCCAATCAAAACAGACCTCTTTATGCTCACGAGCTTTCAAAGACAGCAATCATGGATCAAAACCCTTCACCTTTACATGATATTCCTTACTATTAATACCACCATAATTTAGGTTCGTCTTTGCCAAACATGATCAGTTGAATGGTGAGTTTTTCACTGTAAATTGGGTCATCATTGTTCTTCTGAGCAATCCAATTATCCATAATCGTCAAATTATGCACCTTCTAACAGCCACTTGGTCGATGAACCACGTAACAATAATTTGATCCCAATGGACCACCATACATGAGATCTAACAAACATAGAGTCGAGAAAACGAGCATCAAATTAGAAGTATGACTGGCATAAGAAATCGACAATTGTGCATACTAACTGTCACAAACAGAGGAGACTATACCACACTCAATTAACAACAACCCACAATCAACCAAAAACACATAAAAGGCCATATAGGTGCAAACCACAGTAAACATCTATGGGGGGAGAGAGAGAGAGAGAGAGTCCCCATAAGATGGTCTGCTTGGTATCTAGTTGAAGTTGATGGGAGCTAACAAGAAGAGTCATCAGGAAGTTGTGTTTGCATATTTACAGTTTGAGATGCCCTCTTGAGGCGTGCAACCCGCCTACGATGGCCACGACCCTGTCTGTGCTGCTCCCATTCATGAGCTCCTCGTAGAACACGAAACCCACAGTACTGCAATTAATTCTCATGAGATAATCACCCACAAAAGTTCGGGTAAATCTCAATCTCTCTCTCTCTCTCTCTCTCTCTCAACAACAAAAAAGAAATGGAAATAAATGTGGCAATCATGTTGACCCCCCAACCCCTTCCTCCTCACACACACACATGTGCGCGCACGCACACACATCCAATGAAACAAATCAAAGGGTCACAATTGTAACACTCTAGAACTGATGAAGCATACTGACCTCACAGATATATTGGGTCCACAAATCCCTTGATGCCAAATTGCTAATCTTTTCCGACTGAATTCCTACAGTGGCTTCATCTGACAAGAAAGACTTAATAGTATCCACACAGGGTTCAACTACTAGCTTTAGCCATGACTCGCTCGATTTGCCTGCACAGAAAGAGAGAGAGAGAGAGGTATGTAAGGATTATCAGTGGAAGCTAAAGAATTGAGAAAGGAAACCGCTCTCTGACAAGAACAATATTATTCTGAAAGAGCAATTCATTACTAAGAAATAATGTGAGGCATACATATGAAGAAGTCCGTCGCATCGAAGTAGTGAATGTTCCATCCAAAGTATGCCATTAATCTATTGAGCCTCCGTTTCTGGAAAGTTACCACAAATTGTCAATCATCAGCTGAAAATACTGAACCATCTTCATGTTATAGACTAAAGAAATTGTGACTTTTTTTTTCCCTCAGGGCAAGCTCTTTGTGCCCCCATACAAGCAAATGAGTTTGAAGACCGACACTCATGATCTTGATTAAGGGCTAAGAGAAAGCCAATAATAATATCATACATTAATTACAGTCTGACGAGAATAATTGATGCTAGTTTATGACAAAGTTAGCAGCTCACTTCCAAACATCCAGTCAAAGATCAGATAGTTGTTAGTCTCTAGACAAATATAAATTATGTATACAGAGACATGTATCATGGTTTCCCTCTTTCCAGCCATTAACTTATTAAAAAATGTACAGCACTACAAATAGTTGAAATTGCATATATGATGAAGTTTGAACTACAACACAATATAGAATCTCCTTGTCCATAATTAAACCACTGGAGAAACATCCTTGCATAACATACAATCCCAGAAACCAATCCTACTGCCTCACCAATCCAAAACCTAATATCCTTCTCAAACCCTAGAACCAACCCTACTAAGAGTAATATCTTATTTAAAGGAAAACAAATGAGTTTCTGAATTATTATTAAAAGAAAAACAAATGAGCTTCACTATCTACAGTGAAAAAAGCAATAATGTCAGGTTTTGAAATGGTTATGAGCAGTTTGGAAATTGGAAAGTGGTCAAACTGGATTAACAGAGATAATTAACAAATACATAGACTCGACATTAACATTCTACTAAGTCTGAACCATGGCACATTTTGGCCAAATGTATGATAACAATTATGGTGTGGACACTGATTGGTAATTCGCTTTTCCTAATTCCCATTTCATACAGGATCAAAACTTAACTAAGGAACATTCTAACACAAATAACAAAGGCAAACTTAAATAAATACAATGAAGTTATGAGTTATCTGAACAAGAAAGAACAATCACACTCACTTGACGTCTAACAAGTCTGCGTGTGTTTGCCTTCATCTTGTCAATGGCTCCACATAGCAAAACTTTGTCATTGCTTTCTACAGAATTAATGAGTGCCCTTATGTCTGGATTTGGGATATCGTTAGTTTCCATGCAACTTTGTTGAGTAGGGTGGTAAGATCTAAAGAACTCCTCAAACTCGCGAACGCCAATGGCTTGCCGTAATCCTCTAGTATAATCAGCATTTGGTTGGTATATTTCACAGACTTCATTTAATAAACCGTCATTGATCATGCTTTCAACTCTCTGCTCAACAAATGTATCTAGTACACACAGAGAAGCATCCACCCAGAGAAAACAGCAATCAAATCGGAAATTATCTGATCTACCCCACTTCTGCCCTGCCAAATTCAAACATCAAAGCATTATTTCCATGTAACAATTCTGTCAAACGGTTTATTGAAAACATTGTCATATGGTTTCTAAAGAAAGATACAACAAGCGAAAAAGTTCATTTGATAATTAATCAAAGTGGTAAGCAATTAAACAGGTGAACAAACCTCTGAGCCCTTTCCCTGAAAGAGTTTACTAGGGGGGATTCCTGTAGTTCCATAAAGATGAAGGTAATGATTTATCTGCAGAAACCAAACATAGCTTACAAAATGGACAAAGGCACATTATATCTTATCCACCAAAAAGAACTCTTGACACATAAAGGTCCCCCAAAAACCAAAATAAGACAATTTCTAACTCAATACACTAGAAGGTCAGCGATGTAAATGCAGGCTTGCAGAGACAACCCCTAACAAGTTCTACATGTAAGTAGGACATGCATGGGAATCAAGTTGAGTGTAATGCAATCATGAAGGAGGTTAGAACAGTGAAGCTAATAAAGATGGGGTAAATGACGTGGTTGTAGAATAAATAGCAGAAAGCTATGATAATCCAGATACGGTAAACCAATTTTACCCAACAAGGACCAAATTCCAAGAGCTAAATGAAACATTTCAGTCCTCAACAAGCACAAACTGGAATAGATTCCAGTCTTACTTTTCGCTGGTCATTTGGATGAATCCTTTTCGCTGCATCAGGATCAATCTCTTTAAGACGGTCATAACCATGATTTACATGATCATGACTGGAGTCACAAGTTACATCTGGTCTCACTTCTCCTGAAAGAAGAAGATTATCAAAATTGCGGACAAACTAAGATTTGAATTTTGAGCATAAACAAATATTTGATTTGTTACCTAGAGGTTCATTATGAAAGCATTCATCCACAGATTCTATCATGCATTCATCCATTGATTCGATCATGTCATCATGCAGAAAAGGAGTCACAAGAGCCTGATCATGTTACACGAGTCATTAGCTAATAATAAGATTCATTTAAAAGCAATATGATGACATTCAGAATAAGAAAAATTCTACGGAGCTCAATACCAGCTACAAGAAAAAATCTACAGAGCTCAATATCTCCTGAGTTCAGTACTTGAGAAACTGGATCATAGTACAGCATAACTTGGTAGTTCAACCCCCAACCCAAACCCACCCAACCACCACCCCCTCCTCCCCCCCCCCCCTTCCCCCCAAAAAAAAAACACACAAAAAGAAAAAAGAGAAGAAGAAGAAGAAACAAAGGAATTCATATGTTTGCAGTCCTCAAAGCAAATGCTACTAACAATAAATTTAGTAGCATAGCTTTAAGCAAGGGTACCATTCTTTTTCTCCCTGACATTATTATTTGTTTTGCCCAACAATGTAGTGAACATTTCCCAGATTTGTGATCACCAAATAGCAATAAAAGCAAAATCAATGAAAAGACATGTAATGTAGTTATTGTAGCCAAAAATAATATTCATTGAATCCTTTTATAGGCTGCGGATACTCTAAATTATGTAGGAAACATCATTTACTTTGCAAATATTACATGAGCTCAAAACTCATGGATAAATACCTGAATATAGTAATTGGTACCACCAACAACTATAGGCAAACCATTGCGAGACCATATCCCTTCTATTATCTGGATTGCAGCGGTACCAAAATTTCAAGCCAAATACAAGGATATAAGAAGTTTGTACATCTAACCAACAAAGTTAAACTTGTGCTTAATGTGCACGCTAGAAAACAAAGCAAAACACCTAAACCTGATTTCGGAAAACCAAACCTTACCCCCATCAAAGCACTGCTGCAAAAATAATTGAGGAAAATTTATCGAATTGCCAACAAGATGAACAATTTAACACTTTACCCATATCTTTTGATTTAATTTCATATCTAAACAAAACACGTGGTCTTGTGTTGGAATAGTAGCAATTGGGCAAAATGTAAAATACTTCATCTCCCATGGATATTTTAACAAATTTCCCTAAATTAAATATCAGATATATGTGTGTAATAATGTAATAAAACGTGAAAAAGGAAAAAAAAAAAAGTTACATGTTAACAATCAGAAACCATTCAAATAGAAAAAGAAATACACTCACAGGAATGGCCATATCACGGAAGTCCTTGGATGTAAAATCTCTATTTGCTCCAATGATCCCCAAAAGATGATGTGGAATCCCTGATTGCAGAATCACAATCAAATAAAAAAAGAATTGCTAAGAAGAATAATATATGTACCAACAAGAACCAACTCATTTCCCATTAAGAAGATCAATAGGATTACAAGCAAGAGCATATAAACCAATTCCAACTACCAGCATTACTTAATATGTAAAATTTTCTGGTATCAAGACAATGAGAAATCAAAAGGAAACTTGGACACTCATGAAAATCTAAATACTGAATGCCTATTTCACAAGATAATATTTATAACCATAGCTCTTACAACCCAAACTCCTTTGTTATGTTTGTAGAGGATAAAATCCAAAGTTTGGGACAAATACAAAGGAACTGCCTACGTCCATAGGGTTCCAAAGTTCACTTCCACTAATGAGAAAAATACCATGCAAGTATGGAGAATGCAAGGGTTTACATGTTCTCTTTCACAAGCCCTAAAACAAGTTTTTTTCTCTCAAAACACCCAGCCAAAGGACTAAAGAAAACTCAAGACAATTGCCTACGTGATTCGGCAATTGCCTACTTCCACAAGGCAGCAAAGTTCCCTTCCACTAATCACAAAAATACCATGCAAGTACAAAGAATACATGCCTTTGCAAGCTCTCTCTCACAAGCCTTAAAATAGGGTTGTTTTCTCTCAAAACACACACCCAAAGGACTAAAGAAAACTCACCCTTTTCTCTCTATTTCTTCTTGTAATAATTTTCTCTCTCTCTATAAAACACTTCTATAAAGAGGAGACCCACGTGACCCATCTTTCTCTCTCTATATCCTTGCCTAATTTTAATAGATTTCCCTAACTTCTAATCTCTCAACTTATTAATGTGAAACTTTCAAAAAAAAAATATTTCCCTAACTTATAGGAGTTAGTTTCCCACAAAATAGGAACTCCTCATTTGCCTCAACCTAATCACACGATTTCCAAAACCATAAGGATTCAAAGCCCATAATAATAGGAAACCCATATTTTTAAAAAATATGGCTTCACTGCTTTAATATTCTACTGCTTGAAGACATGTTTCCACTCTGACTACTATGCTCCGTGAAACTCCTGCCCAACAGTTACTAATCTTCAAGTAACCACAAGCCCCAAGAAAGTCTTGTACCAAGTGAACTTCCCCTTCTCAATTGACTTAGTGAACATATGTGTCAAATTGTCAACAATATAAATTTTCCACAATAAAATTCTTCCATCCTCTACCACATCGCAAACAAAGCGCTATCGAACATCAATATACTTAATCCTATTATGAAAGGCCACTCTGGTAATCACAATAATATGATATCCCTTCTTGCACAACTTGGAAGTCACCATGTAACCCATTTAGCCAAATTGCTTCTTTAGATGCACGAGTAAGTAAAGTACACTTAGCCTTTGCAGAACACAAAACCACCACAAACTTCTCATTCATAATAGTACAAAAGGTGGCAGGGGCATTTGTTAAAACCTCGCTATCCAACTAACTAATTGCACCACCTCCCAAAGAAAAACATACTCGGTAGAGCCCTTCTTTTATCCAAGTCACATGCAAAATCAATACCAACATAACCAACAACTTTCAAATCCATCCTACTGTAGAAAATACCAGCATTATAATTTCCCTTCAAATAACAAAGGATCCATTTGTTGGCTTTCTTTCTTCTGCATGGAATTGTCATTGGAAATAATATCTCGGCTAATAATAATCTTGTGGTCAGTAGGATCCCCACAATTTGTACCCACTAGTACCATCAATATAGACAAGAGAAACACATTTTTGGATTTGGCATCCAACTCTATTCTCTTCTCCTTTGCAATCAAAGAGTATGCATCACACCCAAAAACATGGAGGAATGAAAAATCAGCACGTTTACCTGTCCAAATCTCTTATGGTGCCTTGTAGTCAATAACAACACTGGGAGACCTATTAATTAGGAAACAAGATGTACGAACGGCTTCTACCCAGAAACAATGCCCTAACCCTGCACCACCCAACTTACACCTGACATGCTCTATAATGGTACAACTCATCCGCATAGCAACACCATTTTGCTGAGCTTTTAACCCAGTGATGAGGTTTTTATCGCGAAGTATCTTGAGTCCATGTTCGCTCATGTGATCCAAATGTGCATATGCCACGCGATGACGGAGTCCATCTCTAGAATATCATCCTATCTGAAGATTGTTTCTCCAACAAGTCTGTCCAAATTGCCTATTAACTTTACTTTTGCAACCACTAGTTCTCCGTTTGAAATTTTCAGATATCTATTTCCACCTATAAACTTGAAACATTGCTCATCAAATTTTCCCAAATATAAGAGACTCCTGAAACCCAGAACATGTCTGCCACCCAAAATAGTGCATGTTTGAACATTTTGATTCTCACATCTCTGACTACCTTTATTTTATATGAGTCATTGTTTCCCATGTAAACAATACCTCCATCAGGCGATTGGTATTTATAAAACCAATCCTTGTGTGAAGTCATGCGAAAGGGTGAACTTGAATCAAATAGCCAATACTACAAAATTTCCTTCCTGCCAATAGAAAAGATTTTTCCATCTTCAAAAAATTCAATTTCTTCTACTAGATTTCCTTAAGATTCAAACTTGGCTTCTTATGAGGACAAGATTTAGGGGCTTCCAGGTTTCTTTTTTGTGCATTAGGATATTTCTTCACATCGCCTAAATTTTCACAACCCCAACCCTTCACTTTCCTCGACTTGGATCTTGACTAACCCCTTCATGTAGTTCTCTCCATTAATCTACCCCATGCTACAAATACATTCCCAAAGGATTCCTTACCAGACCTAGACTCCTCTGTAAGAAGAGTTGAAAGAACAAAATCAAATTCAAGAGACTTTGCACCACTGAGATTCATGATCAACCCATCCCATGATTTTGGCATAGAACAAAATAATATGGCTGCTTTATCTTCCTCACTGATTTTTGCATCTAATGCCATCGACTTGCTAGTCACGGCATTAAACTCAAGTAACCTTGCTAATCAAGGCATTAAACTCAAGGATTCCTTACCAGTCTTTCGCCTAGACTCCTCTGTAAGAAGAGTTGAAAGAACAAAATCAAATTCAAGAGACTTTGCACCACTGAGATTCATGATCAACCCATCCCATGATTCTGGCATAGAACAAAACAATATGGCTGCTTTATCTTCCTCACTGAATTTTGCATCTAATGCCATCAACTTGCTAATCAAGGCATTAAACTCAAGTAACCTTGCAAAGAAGCATCATCACTCATCTGGAGATTATAAAGTTGTTGACAAAGAAAAATTTTATTAGAAAGAGACTTACCTTCATAAGCATTTTTCAGCCTATCCAATAAATCTTTTGCCATATTTTGAGGAGACATTGAATAAAACAAATTCATCTAAGGCCGAAATAATATTTGCCTTGGCCAAATTATCCTTCTCATCAAACTCCACATCATCCATCTTTATAGGTTTCTTGACTTTGCCATTTAAAGCCACTACACAATTATTTTTTGCCAACATCACATGTATCTTTAACTTCATGGTTGAGAAATTCGAACCATCAAATTTTGGGATTTTATATTTGGTTGAACTTCCTCCAACCATCTTCAAAGATTTGTGATCCGCCGACAAACGTGTCCAGCAAATATCTCAGACCCTAAGGCTCTGATATCAAATGTAGAGGATAAAAATCAACGTTTGGGAAAAATAAAAGGGAAAGAAAAATAGTGAAGAAAATTAAAAGAGCAAAACACCAAGGTCTACATGGTTTGGCAATTGCTTGCGTCCATAAGGCAATAAAGTTCTCTTGTACTAATCAGAAAACACTATGCAAGAATGGAGAGTACAAGGCTTTCAAGCTCTCACAAGCCCTAAAACAGGATTTTTTCCCTCTAGAATACCTACCCAAATAACTAAAGAAAACTCACCCTTCTCTCTCTTTATTTTCTTGCTTTAATTTTCTCTCTCTATAAATCACTTTTATAAAGAGGAACCCAAGAGAAGACCCACATGAGCCATCTCATTCTCTATATCCTTTTTCCTAATTTTAATAGTTTTCCCTAACTTATAGGATTTAGTTTCCCATAAAATAGGAACTCCTATTGTGCCTCAACCTAATCAGGTGATTTCCCAAACCATCAGGATTCAAACCCCATAATAATTGGAAACCCATAATTTTAGGAAATATGGCTTCACTATTTTAACAATGTTGATAGAGCGCAGAACACGTCGATTACCCCCCAAGATTCATAGATTGCCAACTTCATCATCATCATCATCATCGTCAAAGTATTTTCCCAACTAATTGGGGTCGGCTACACGAATCCTGACCCACCATTCTGCTCTATTAAAGGTCATATCTTCAGTGCGACCATAAGTCCTCATATCTTTTCTCACTACTTCCAACCATGTCCTTTTGGCCCCTTACCCTTTTTGAGCCTTCAACTTGAACTAACTCACACCTCTTAATAAGTGTTGTACTGGGTCTGCGCCACACATGGCCAGCCCACCTAAGTCTACTCTCACTCATCTTATTGCCTATTGGTGCCACACCTAAAGTTATGGACGACTTAACTAGGCACCCATAAGTCATCTATAACTAAGACAAAGAGGTATGGGCTCAATGCTGACCCCTGATGTAGACCTATTGTCACTGAAAACTCACTCATCTCTCCACTAGTTGTTCATACACTAGTTAGCGTTCCATAGTACATATCTCTCACCCAGTCGACATAGTGTCGGAAGACTCCTTTCTTTTTCAACACCCACTAAATCAAATCTCAAGGTATTTTATCATAAGATTTCTCTAAATCAATAAAAACCATGTGGAGGTCTTTCCCTTTGCCCTTAGACCTTAGACCATGTGGCCAAGATAATAATGGTGTGAATTATCGCCCATCCAATGTCTTATAATGCACAACAAACACTAACAAGAAATCAAATACTAACACAGATAGTGTGAATCCATTGAGGTGATCAAATTCTTGGAAAGAATCCAATGGGGAATCAAAATCCTGACCAACCTCATAAACTTAATGTGGTGTAAAGTAATGAATGTAGCATTGAGTAACAAAGCCATACCAAGAATAGCAATAAACAAAATTTGCATAACACAACTTAGAGATATGATAGAACCCAGCCATTAATTAGTTACTGTAGTATGAGATTTACATTTGCGGTATGGAGGATCCTAGGTATATTCTGACAAGTCAATACTTGATTTGTGCCAAAGCTTCAATCATTCCCTCTAGCCAGACCTGTGAAGCTCAAGTTGAGAGGAAGTTAAAAAAGAATCCAACATGGCAACCAGTTAAGGTGTTCGCCGGGATGAAGGATGGTATTATAACACGTTATGCTCGTGCATTGGAGATTAAAGAAGGTACTTTTCCAACAAATCGAGCTGTAACTTTGAGATCTCAATTCCAGCCATTGTTTACCGAGGCGAGCAGCCTGAATTTTGTACTATCATACATGGTTTCTCTAGAAACAAAGCACATTGTAAGGCCACTACCAATTGCAATTCTTTATAAAATTTGCTGACAAATTAAATGAAATCTTCCCAGATATGGTGTGTACTTTAATCAAGTATCTTGTTCTCGATTCTTGAGTTGCCATCCATAGTGAATACCACTTGGATCCGATAGAGGGAAAAAATTTGGAAAGATGTTAGGATAAGCTTGGCATTTAGTACAATTAGAATTAAAAACTAAGGACCTTTGATGGTAGTCTTGGGTCGAATTTCCTAATGATAAGAATTTAAAGTTAAGCATAACGTTGTTATAATATATGTTACAATACAATCACAAAGCATACTGCTAAGACTTTTCCTATTTACAATAGTTTAACAGAAGCATGTTGACTTCTTACCAAGGTTTAGGAATTCACCTCGGCCTTGGCCAAGGCGAGTTTCTTGGACTCAGCCGAGTCATGTACAGGGAAAATTAAAAAAAAATAAAAAAATAAAAAAATAAAAAAATAAAAAATAAAAAAGGTTTAGAGGAGTAAATAAACCCAAAAGCAACCTTAAAGAGTCCAAATGAGCTTTTAAAAAGTGTATTAAAATTAAAAATAGAGTTAGAAAAATCTGATATACAATTGAGGACATTTTATAAAATCCAAGAAAAGGAAAATATAAAAACAGGAATTGTAGCTCATCTGGTAAAGCACTTGCTTTGTATGCGAGAGAGCATGGGGTTCACGTCCCTGCACCTCCAATTTCTTCTTTAGCCGACCCCAAATAATTGGGATAAGGCTTGGATGATGATGACGACGATAAAAAATGCTCACCAATCTTTGCCAAAAACAACAAAATTTAATGAAAAAATTATAAAACAATCCCATATTTTTTACAAAGTTTTGGGATTTTTTTTAATGTTTTTTATGTATGTCAAGTTTACACAAAACTTGGGGTAACCCAGCCTTGTCCATAGGGTGAGCATGGGCGAGGCCGAGTTACACACCCAAGTTGGAGTGGACTTGGGTGAGTCCCATAACACTGCTTCTTACATTGAACTCGGGCATTGGTTGTAGCTTCCTAGGAAACTTTTCTTTCACATTCATAATGTTCGTTAGGGTGTATCATTCATTAGATGGGTGGATGGATTTTAAATTTTAAATACATAACCAAGCAAGCAATTGAATGTGTAGAAATGTCTATCACCTTATGGGAAGTTCTTTGTTTTTCCACCCAAACTTTGAAGTATTATATGTTCAGAATATTGCACATAATAGCCATAACTTTCATACAGGAATGAGTAACTAGTTAATTTAAGAACCACTCATTTGAATCATAATTTTAAAATAATTACTTGAAAACGCATAAAACTTCAATAATTCATACAAATTCAGGAAAACTACACGACTGCAAACAAATGCACGAATAAGAGTAAGACGAGGGGCATGTAAACTCATCAAATTTCCAACTCAAATATTATAAAGAAGCTAAGTATCAAAATTAGATATTATACACAATCTAACAATCAAAAATTGATTATCTACCCAACTAAAACATAAGCCAAGAGAAAAGGAACAAAAAAGAAACCCAAATTATAGAAGAACGAAGAAAACCTGAAAAATCAGCAAATTCTCGAAAAAAAAAAATTTGAATCAATAAAGTTGGGCTTTTTTATTACCTTTCCTTTCTTCATATGTCACCTTATTAGTGAGAACATCCAATCCTTCATAGACCTGTAAACACAAACCAGGTAAGGCGCGATGAGTTAGAGTTAAGGTCATGAGAGAGAAAAGGACGACCATGAGAGCTAAAAACAGGATGAGTAGAGAGAAAGGAGAGGAAAGGATGAGGAGAGAGAAAGGAGAGGAAAGGATGAGGACAGAGAAAGGAGAGGAAAGGATGAGGAGAGAGGAAAGACCTGCATAGAATCAGCATTTACAATTTCGGCTGAAAAATGGGAGGCAAGATCAATAGCGAGCTTCGATTTTCCTGCACCAGTCGCCCCTAAAACGACCACAATTTTGGGTTTAGGGTTAGGGTTTATCAATGAATAAGCAACGTGCTCGTCCATAACAGAGAAAGACAGAAGGACAAAATAAATAAGCCAGGAAAGCACACTTGACGCAAAAGGAACAGAAAAATGGGAACCCCTCACTTTAAACTCGTTAGTTTTAAACGCGTCACTCGTAACCAGCGGTTTAAAAAACGGATCGTTGGGCCCAAAAAATCCATCTAGATCGGTGATTCGCATGAGGAAAAGATCGAATCGGTCGGATTATGCTATAAAAAAATATTTAAAAAAATTATTAAAATTTATTATAAATATTATTTTTTAGAAATTCAATAAGAAATCAGGTACTATATTATTAATTTTTCATTTTTTTCATCAATACGTGAATATTGAGATATTTTTCTTATGTATGAATTTATTTTAACCATTAAATTACATCACACAAAATAAAAATCATGGAACTATCATTGATGAAGTATATAATCATATATGGACTATAATAAAAAATAGCTTTTTATAAGAACATTTTAGTTTTTTTGATAAAAACTTTTTATTTTTTTTACAAGAAATGTTTGTCGTATTACTCTTTTTTCTTTTTTTTTTTAACGAGAACCTTTCTTTTGACAAAAAATACTTATTGTATTATTATTTTTTTATAAGAACTTTTTTTTTTGGACAATAACTTTTTATTACTTTTTTTTTTTGAAAAAAACCTTTTATTTTTTTTGACAAAAAAAAAGAAATTTTGACAAGAAAA